CTCTTCTCTCTTTAATGCTCTCTCCCTTTTTTGCTGCGTCTCTCTCACTTTGGCTCTGCAACTTTATTTCTCTTTGTTACTTTGTCATTGTCTCTCTTATCTCTTTCTCTCTGTCTGTCTATATCTGTCTCTTCTTATCGGTTTCTCTTTGCTCTGCCCTTTCTCCTTCTCTGTCTCTTTCACTTTATTTCTCTGATTCTATTTCCTTTCCTCTCTATGTTGATTGGACTCTGTCACTTTCTCTCATTGCGTATCACTATGTTCCTCACTATGTTTATAATTTATTCTATTTCTCAATTTCTCTCAATCCCTAATTCTCTCTCTATCTGGCACCTCATCTATTTCACTCTTCTGCTTGCTACTTTTCTCTGCGTCTTTCACTCGCTTCTTTTTTATCTTTTTTTTTCGTTTTGTTTCTCTTTATTTCTTCCTTCTCTCGCTTTTTCTCTCTTGCTCTCTTTAAGTTTTTTCTTGCTCTTTTTTTCTTTCTTCCTCTGCCTCTCGCTCGTTCCCTAACTTTATCGTTCACACTTTCTTTTTCACTCTCCCTCTCTCTCTCTGCCTTTGTCTCTCTCTTTCTCTATGTCTTTCTCCCTCTCTTTCTTTTCTCATGTATATCTGCTTCTCTCTTTGCCTCTCTCTTTATTTCTCTATAACTATCTGTTCCTCACTCTCTCTGCTTCTTTTTCCCTCTCACTCTTTTTTCTGGCACTCTCTCTCTCCCTCCCTCAGTCTTTCTAGTTCTCTTTCCCTGCTCCTTCTCTTTCTCCCAGTTATTCACTGTCTCTCTCTCTCGCCTTTTCCCACTCCCAGTCCTAAGCCCACTCTCAATCTCTTCTCTCCCTCTCGCACATCAATTGTTTATGTAGCTCATCAAGCGATAGACAAACGATTGAATCGAATTGACAAACTCGTATTATTATTTAAAACGAAAGAGATTCCTAAATACTTATCCATAAGCTGTTCGCATTTGCTTGTTTAACGCCCTAATTTGCGAATGTGGTCAGCCGCACGTTCGCTACGTCTGGCCGTCCGTCCGTCCGCCGTCTGGCTCTGTTTGGGTAGCTCTCGGCAGTTGGGCCTGAGACAAATTATGCACAATAAATAACGCGTCGATAATCCCAGTTAAAAGCACAAACATTTGTTTGGATTTGCTGCGGCGTTTTCAAACAAACGTTTTATATCAACTTTGCCTGGGTTTTGCCCGTTTTCTGGAGTGCTTTGGACTGCTTGGCGATGCCGCTGGTTAATGGTCGTCGATTGGTTCGACCAAAACGAATGGCTGGCCATTTGTAACGGGCGCTGCCAAAGGGCTTATTAATATGCGTCGTGTGCTAGGTGACAGACAGTTGTCAGGGTGTTCGCCACATTTTAGCGTAATCTGGTGGCCAAATCGCTGGCAGCGCACAGGTGCTCCATAATCGTCAGCAGGCGGGCGTCGTCCGCTGCGGTTGCCGACATGTAGTTGTCATCAATGCAAATACAGCACACGGCCACACACAGTTGTCTGTGTCACCGCATCGTCGTCAGCCTCGCATGATTGATCAAGTGCGTGCGTGCCAGAGACAGCATCAAGGAGCAGCAGCAGCAGCAGCCGCACCCCAAGCACAGCGAGTGCTATTGCCGGCCATTTTTCTGACATTTAGTTGACAGAGCAAAAATTTTGTTTGCTCGTAATGCGCCCTCGACATGGTCCAACATGGTCATCGACAGCGGCATTTACATTGAGCAAGTGAGTGTGTGAGGGTGTGTGTGTGTGTGTGTGTGTGTGGTACGAGTGAGTGCTTAAAAAGCATTTCACGCCACGCTCAACACGCTGCCCCAGCCGAGCACACACTCGAAGCTTATTTGACATTTATCAGTGCAGCTGGATTACTTCGATTTCCCAGCGAGCTTTGTCGTTGATGGAACTGTTTAAAGCATGCGGGCCGAAGACGCGACGTTCAACGCTCAACGTGCGAGCGCACGTTGTAATGAAAAGTGTCAGCCGGAGTGGCTCAGGACATGTGATAATCCAATTGGGCCGGCTCGACCGCAATGCGAGTGCCTTGTCTAATGCAATTCGTGATTCAGCATAAAATGCTGGGACATGCGACGCATGCCACGCCCACAATTTATAGGCTAGCTGCCTCCGCCCCCCTGTTAGCGCTTATCGTGCCCCTCTGGCTGGCTGCCTATTTGGAGCTGCGCCCACTCGCACTATCAAACGGGCGGATAGGCCAATTGCCAATTGTCAGATACAATTTATTCTTCCCTTAGATGCTGCCCCACGCCAAAACAAAAACGAAACGTGGGCGACGCTTGCCACACAGCAACGATGGCTGCCACGGCTGCACTAAATGCGAATTGAAAATAAAATATTACACCGAGATTGCAGCGGCAGAGTGCGAAAAAAGCGCTCAGCAAAGAACCAACAATGAAATCCAGCACCGCCACGGCACCGCCTGGCCTTAGCCCCACGACATTGCCGGCTCGCATTCTGACTAAGGCTGTAGCTAAAGCTGCCACTAGAGCAGGGGCTGGGGCTGGTGCCGGAGCTTCGTTTGGAATTGCGGAGACAAACAAACATCCAATGCAGCAAACAGCAACACGATTACGCCGCTGGCCATGCGACGGCAGGGATGGAGCTCAAACCAAAAAAGAGACAGAGCGAGAGAGTGAGAGACAATGAGAGAGAGAGAGAGAGAGAGAGTGTCGGAGCATGGGGGAATCACAGGGAACACAAACGAATCGTGCAATGCCAGCGACGCCCGCAACGGTGACGATCATCAAGCGCAAAAGGAATCGTAAAACAAAAGCGACAGATAGTTTGCAGCATGCCATAAAATCAACAACAACAACAACAACAATGGCAACCCTCGCGGCAGTTGGAGGCAACACCAATCGATTGTGTGAACTGTTTTTTTTTCGCTTTTTGGTGGCGTTAAGTGTGGGCGGCCAGTGCAGCCGCGGGGCGAAAGGTAGACCCGAAACCCAAGCTCGTCCTGATAACGTTGAGGCAGACACGCTTCGGCAGCGTTGCCAACGACAGCGACGTCATCAATGGCTGCCTCGTGCCTCAGCGCAGCTGCATTAGACTGGTGCCAAAAAGCAAAGCTAACTTTAGCGATATGATGTTGAGCGAGGTCTGGTAAGTCGAGTGATGGCTTAGTAAAGGATAAAGCAATTAAATATGAATATTATTATTTATTATTATTATTATAATATTATATATAATATATATATTATAATATATTATAATATTATATATAATATTATTATTTATTATTACTTCATAGGAAAATCTTAAAATATATAGAAAATATTTAAAATATATACATAAAAAAAATATTTAAAATATATATATAAAAAAAAATATATATATATATTTAAAATATATATAATTTTAGACACATATAGTCTAACCAGGCAAGAGTTGTAGTATTTTGAATACCTTTATGGCAGAGGCTGTTTGAGCTTAAACTTGTTAAATATTTATTAAGATTTGCCAATTGATTGTGATTACCATTAGCTTACTAAATTTCAAAAAAAAATTCAATTAAATTCTTAAAATTTTTTCTTAGTTTGGAGGTATGTTTTGCCTTGAAGTCAATCGTCCTTTTGGGTTCAGTGTGCACGCGCAGTGGAGCACGAATAAACTCTTTCAAGTCTTAAGTCCACATTCAGCTGACCTTTGTTAGGAAGAACATTTTTGAAGCAGACACAGAAAAGTTCACTCGGCTAACATGCCAGCTGCTATAGACGAACATATTGAGCCCAGTTAGCACAATCATCAAAGTCTGCTCTGTTCTCTATATGATGTGCTTTGGTATACTTAATGGCATTAATGTGTCTTATATTAAATAAACAAAACAAGGAAAAAATTTTTAAAATAAATATATAAAAAAAAAGCAACTTAATATATTATAATATTTTAATATATAATAATATATTAAAAATAATATTGATATTAATATAATACACAATTTTCTTTTTAATTAAATTTCTTTAGCTACTGCTCTTAAGTGCTCGCTCCATAAATAAATGAAATATTTAATTAATTAAATAACTAGTCATATAAACTAACTGCAGAACCTTAGGCATTCTTGCTAAAAATCTAAAAAATATACTCCAACTTCACTCAAGCTCAGCATAAGTAAGCTTTACAAATCTGAGTTACTTAGAATATAAAATGATGGCAAATAAATGTTAAACAACATCGCACAAGTTGATCAAACTAAAGCGTGACACGCGCCCATCGCTAGCGCTATTTATTGAGCAGCAGCATTGCTGCTTGCTGCTTGCTGCATGCAGACTGCACTCGGCTGCTCTCTCTGCTGCGACACCTTGAGGCGATGTTGGCAAACTGCAGAAATCACATAAACGCGAATGTCGTCGACGGCGACGCCAGCTGCGACGTCGACTGCGACGCAGCCATTGCTTTTGCCCGCATTTTCACAAACGGCGTTAGTGGGCGGCGGGCTTTAACTTTCGGTGGGCGTGCCGCGCCATGAAAGCGGCACGCGAAGGCGTTAGACAATCCACATGCGGCGAACGGCAAATGCAACGTAAAAATGCATAAATCCAAGGGATTTAAAGATTTTTTTGTCGGAATTTGTGATTTTTCGCATTCGTTTTATTTTTTATTTTTTGCTTTTTGTTTGCGCTTTTTGTATTTTATTCTCTGCACGCTGCTTTCGCCTTCAGCTGCATTTTTTATGTCGCGACGCGCCCCACCGCCGGTGGGCGTGACTGGATTTACGCGTTGTCCTTTCGTTGAGTGTGTGTGGGAATTCCCGCTCCATGCGCTGCGCTGTTTAACACCCGCAATCAGCGCGCGCTACAAATTTCATATGACATTTTAAGTTGTTTTGCATTGCCCCGCCCCGCACCGCCCCGCACCACCCCGCCCCACTTTTGATTTGCTTTCAGCGGCAAATCTGCCAAATCTGCAAATCCACGACAGCGCTTTGTGCATTTCGACTTGGGGGCACAACATTTCGCAGCTTTGTTTCAACATTTCTACTTTTTTTATTTGAATTGGTCTACCAGGGCCGCGCATCAAAGTCTTAAAGGAACTTACACTGGTGTACAAAATAAAAGTGATTCCTCGTCTAACCCGCTGGCCCGCTCAACCCGTCAGCTAGGCTATCAGATACTCGGGTATGGTGAGATTATACACTCCCGCCAGCATAAAGTAGCCATGGACATGGGGCTGCAGTGAGAGCTGGTCGAGCGTGGCCAGATGCTCGGCATGCAGTCGATTTACGGTGCCAACGCAGTCCTGCGGCGTGCCCGATAGCATGAGCGCGAAATGGCCGCCGGGTCGAAGAAAGTGTCGAGCGTGCAGTATCAATATGCGCAGCTGCTCGTGGTGCAGCGTATCGCAGAAGAGGAAGTCAACGCTGTCCAATATTACGCGATGATACTTATAGGGCATCGTGGCATCCTCGGTGATGGCCACCACGTTGTGACGCCGCTTGGCCAGCTCCAGCAGGTCGCCGTTGGCCCAGGGGCTAGTCTCGATGGCATAGACGATGCCCCCGTCGCCCACAATGTCCGCCAGATGGGACACCGAGCAGCCAGCCGCAACGCCAAGATACATTACCTTGGTGCCCTCCACGATCTGTATATAGTCGAGGCCTTTCAGCAGGGCAGCCGCCAATTTGGACTGATACGGCGACCAAATGCGAAACTTGCAGCACTCCCCGTTGTAGTCTGCCACGAAAATCTCCTCGCCAAAGATGTTGTCTGTAAATGCACTGCAGCGAGTCATCAGCTGGACCACATCGTCCTTGCCACGTGCCATGTAGGCGCCGGAATATTCCTGCTGCTCGATGCTGACCTCCGACTTGTTGCTGAATGCAGCCAGGCTGCGGTTGCTATTGTCACTGCCGCACTCGCTGCCTTCATTGCTGTCCACTTCGCCCACCTCAGCCGACTTGCCCCAGCCAGGAATTTTTGTGTAGCCACGCCTAAGGCATTTGTGTTTAGATGTCGACAACTTGTCCATATTTGTGTAAAGTATGTGTTCCAGTCGGTTCGAATATACACTTCAATCTGACAGTTAATATAAATACATTTATATAGAGAATTTAATCTAAATGCAGGACTATATAAGATAAAGATACAGCAGATAAAGATACAGATAAAGATACAGATACAGATACAGATACAGATACAGATACAGATACAGATACAGATACAGATACAGATACAGATACAGATACAGATACAGATACAGATACAGATACAGATACAGATACAGATACAGATACAGATACAGATACAGATACAGATACAGATACAGATACAGATACAGATACAGATACAGATACAGATACAGATACAGATACAGATACAGATACAGATACAGATACAGATACAGATACAGATACAGATACAGATACAGATACAGATACAGATACAGATACAGATACAGATACAGATACAGATACAGATACAGATACAGATACAGATACAGATACAGATACAGATACAGATACAGATACAGATACAGATACAGATACAGATACAGATACAGATACAGATACAGATACAGATACAGATACAGATACAGATACAGATACAGATACAGATACAGATACAGATACAGATACAGATACAGATACAGATACAGATACAGATACAGATACAGATACAGATACAGATACAGATACAGATACAGATACAGATACAGATACAGATACAGATACAGATACAGATACAGATACAGATACAGATACAGATACAGATACAGATACAGATACAGATACAGATACAGATACGATACAGATACAGATACAGATACAGATACAGATACAGATACAGATACATACAGATACAGATACAGATACAGATACAGATACAGATACAATACAGATACAGATACAGATACAGATACAGATACAGATACAGATACAGATACAGATACAGATACAGATACAGATACAGATACAGATACAGATACAGATACAGATACAGATACAGATACAGATACAGATACAGATACAGATACAGATACAGATACAGATACAGATACAGATACAGATACAGATACAGATACAGATACAGATACAGATACAGATACAGATACAGATACAGATACAGATACAGATACAGATACAGATACAGATACAGATACAGATACAGATACAGATACAGATACAGATACAGATACAGATACAGATACAGATACAGATACAGATACAGATACAGATACAGATACAGATACAGATACAGATACAGATACAGATACAGATACAGATACAGATACAGATACAGATACAGATACAGATACAGATACAGATACAGATACAGATACAGATACAGATACAGATACAGATACAGATACAGATACAGATACAGATACAGATACAGATACAGATACAGATACAGATACAGATACAGATACAGATACAGATACAGATACAGATACAGATACAGATACAGATACAGATACAGATACAGATACAGATACAGATACAGATACAGATACAGATACAGATACAGATACAGATACAGATACAGATACAGATACAGATACAGATACAGATACAGATACAGATACAGATACAGATACAGATACAGATACAGATACAGATACAGATACAGATACAGATACAGATACAGATACAGATACAGATACAGATACAGATACAGATACAGATACAGATACAGATACAGATACAGATACAGATACAGATACAGATACAGATACAGATACAGATACAGATACAGATACAGATACAGATACAGATACAGATACAGATACAGATACAGATACAGATACAGATACAGATACAGATACAGATACAGATACAGATACAGATACAGATACAGATACAGATACAGATACAGATACAGATACAGATACAGATACAGATACAGATACAGATACAGATACAGATACAGATACAGATACAGATACAGATACAGATACAGATACAGATACAGATACAGATACAGATACAGATACAGATACAGATGTATATCTTTCAGATATATCTTTCGACATATTTTATTCCCTTTATAAATTTAATTTTTTCCGTTTGAGCCCTCTGCCCTTGGCCTTCGTAGCTCTTGGACCTCTTGCGCTGTGTGTTCACAGTTCTGCATTGAATTTGAAATTCAGCTTTCATATAAAAACTTTTAAGGCTTTCTGTCTGCTTGAGATGCGGGGTTTTAGCTACGTGATTTAATGAGCTGTTGATTTGCCAAATGCGCGTGAGTCAATTTACAGGGGCGCAAGCGGAGGATGACTTTGTAAGAGAGAGAGAGAGGGAGGTGGGGGAGAGGGTGCATATATTTACTGGCAGCAAACAGGAGGCCAAAGGAGGCAGCTAACTCATATTTGGCTTTTATGCAACGCGTTTGCAACAATTTCACCAGCGCCGGACGAGGGCACAAAAATTATTTAACATGTAAATCAAGGCGAATCTAACAGAGCGAAGCGCAAACTTTTTTAATTTCAAAGCAAATAGCGCGGCAGTCAAATGTAGCAGGGGTCGAGCGCCGGATGGGTAACAGTCAGGTCAGCTGGCCAAATGGTGGGGCGCGTGGGTGGGTGGGTGGCAGCTGTCTGGCTGCGTGGTGCTGGCATTGCCAAACGCGCGCTGATTATAGTCACGTACTTGTCAACGCCCTTTGCAGCGCCAACTTTAGCATCTAGAAGTAATTATGTGTGTGTACGTGGCAATGTGAGTGTGTGTGTGTGGGTGTGTGGGTGTGTGTGCCACTTACATGTGCATCACATGCGTGTCTCTATGTGAGAGTTTGCTAGCAAATATTGGCGCTCAACTTTTATTTACGCGCGCTAATGTTCAAGTTTTCAGCTAAAGACAAATATTAAGAATTCTAAATCGCAACGCTGCCAGCCCCAGTACCACGCCCACCCGCCCCACCAGCCCAGACACATACTCATTTAACTGACAGTTAAAATTACAAACGCTTATCATGTACCAGAATCATATCATACGGAATAATTTATTATGCTCGACGCTTAATGTAATTCCCGAGCAGCGAAATTGGCGCTGGGCCATGTGTGTGAGTGTGTTTGAGTTGGAATAAAGTGCGTAACATACCAAATGAATATGTGCACACACACACACACACACACACACACACTCACACTCACACACACATAGTTCTATTTGCTCAGCTCGTTTCATTCAGTTGAAGAGCTGGCATAATAGACGAGCGCCTAGCTCCCAGCGCTCTAAATGTATCTATGTAACTATATACTATGTGTGTGTGTGTGTGTGTATGTTTTTATGTATATATGTATCTGTGTGGGTGTGTAAATGCTGCTTTATGCTCGGCACCCTGAGGTTAATTAAGATTTTGCCATGCATTTGTTTCGACATTGCGCGGGCCCACAACTTCCTCAGCTCATGTATCTCTCTAGCTGTAATTGTAACTGTAACTGTAGCTGTATATGTAACTGTATCTGCCTTTGTATTTGTAAATCTATCTGTATCTGTATTTGTATATTTAATTCTATCTGAATTTGGATCGTCGTTGCCAAACGTCTCGCCGACAAAACTTTTTATTTAAGTAGTTCTAATCCCTAATTAAATAAAACTCGCTGCTCGTAATTAAATGGCGCAACTTATGATGTGTAATTCACATTTTGTTGGGGATTATGAAAAGGAAAAACATTTAAATATAAATGTATATATATGTATATATATATATGTATATATCTGCTTGGCAAAACAATTATTTGTTTAAGTTTAAATAGACATCGATTTAAGCCAAGCATAAAAATTCTATTAAATTCTAAAATATATAAAATAAATATATAATTTATATATGAAGTCCGTTGCACTGCCCTTGAGTGTCCTTGAGCGCTGGCCATAACAATTAATGAGCACCTGAGCATATGGAATGCTTCCTAGCTAAACAACAGCTCTTTCTACTGGCGCAAACAAATGTGCATACAAATGCCACACATAATTTAACAAAGTGAACTACTTACTTGCCCGAACAACAACAGCAGCAACAACAATAATAATAATAATAATAACCTCGTTGGCCGCAGCAGCAGCTCTAACAACTACACAAAAAAAAGTAAAGCAGAGAGTGAGAGAGAGGAGAAAACATTCGACTTTATATTTTTTTTTTTTTTTTTTTTTTTTTTTTTTTTTTTTTCGTTTTTATTTCTTTATTTTGTTGCAGCTTATTGTCTTAGACTCTATAGCGCATTTAGCTCTAAACCTTAACTAATGGGAGGGCAGATATGCCAATTATTCTGCACTTGTAGCTACTATCTTAATTAGTTCTAATATTGTCTAGAGGATGCAATCTCTTCAGTCTTCGCCTATTGTTGTTTATAGCCAGGTTGCTTGCGAGATGGTTAGGATGCGCTGCAAGTCTGTCCGCGTATCTTGAACTGTGTCGCCCAATGAGTTCAGCAACTGTGGGAATTGCTAAATCCCTATGTAAGACTGAGTTTCTTACAAACCAGCTGGCTCCAGTCCATCTGCGTAGTGCTTTATTCTGCAGGGTCTGAATTTTGTTCCTTGTAGTCTTCGCCGAGGAGCCCCATAGAGAGATACCATATACGAAGGTTGGGACAACTATTGCCTTGTAGATGGCGGCCTTGCTGCTGTAAGACAACTTGCTTGAAGCTCTCAGCATCCAGTCGAGGGTTTTTAGCTTGCTTTTGCATTTTGAGGTTACTTGACTTATGTGCGCTTTAAAAGTCAGCCTTCTGTCAAGAGTGATACCAAGGTACTTTACTTTTGAGGCTTTGGGAATAGTGGGCCCCAATGCAACGCTTGGGCAATCTCCTCTTCTAGTGGCGAAGGTAGTATGTACAGACTTTTGTGCATTAATGGTGATACACCACCGTTTTGCCCAGCGTCCGAAAGAGTCCAGATATTTTTGTAGTGAGTCTGAAGCTTCTTGCGCAGATACGTGACGTGATAAGATGGCGGTGTCATCTGCATAGGTCGCTATGAGTACTGCATCTGTACTTCCTATATTTGGCTCGGGAGTTGGCATATCTCCTGTGAATAAAGTATAAAGTGTTGGGCCTA